GGTTTTGTAGAGAGACCCGTCAGAGATGGCGTGGCTAACCCGGGTGCATTGGTTATGTGCCTGATCGTGGAAGACCCCTTCAATGTGGAACGATTCTTAGCTAGTGTCGTTATTTTCACTGCAGTGCCTTCACAGACGATCGGGAGATATTCGGGTGATTGTCAATTGCTGCTATGATGGGTTTGGTTGGTTGTTCTTTTTCACTGTACGGCCGCAGACACATTCTGACAGCACTTCAGACAGCAGCTTTGTGCCCAGCCAGCTGCTTGTTCCATGCCTACCATGGTGTTTTTTTACAGACAGAACTTCAGACAGCAATATGCTGTATGTAGTCGGCAATCTTCCGTTTTGGTATAGAGTGGGACATGGAGGGGGTGATGCTACTGTAGTCGAACGGTGGGACGGACGTGCAGTTCAGTTTTTGGGCACGCATACGGTGCTGCAGGGGTTTTTAGGTGTACCTCTTCGGGCTCTTGGATACCTTTTTCTCGTTATATGTGTGCGTGTTCTTTAGATCCTCAGATGGCTCTAGCACTTTCGTGACCACGGGCTGAGAGTCTTTTGCTAGATTTTGGCATTTAGCAACTGACATGCGGTTAAATGTGAAGACAACAACAACAACAACAACAACAATTAATTGATAAGGAACCCAGTCAAGAAGCACTTCAGTACTTGAGCTCTTGTCTACATAGACTAAAGCAGTGCAACCACGTACACACGCCAACCAATTTTAGGCCTGACCGCGACCGTGGGGTAAGGGTCAGGGTTAGGGTTCCGGCAGTGAATTTTGGGTTGGTTGGGTTAGGGTTGGGGTTGGGGTTGAGCATATTACCTGCTGCGGACTCACTGCCGCCGTGGAAGCAACTGACAAGAGCAGAGTGCATCACACCTCTCTCTGTACACCACACACGACACACATAGTACACTACCCGCCAGAGGTTCGTTTGTAGGCTAGGGTGTCGTGGGCATGTACAATAGACTACATGACTACTGTGTGGATCGTGCCGGGCGGAAATATTTCGGCGGGTAGACTACAACAGCAGTACGCACCACACAGCTTCTCACCATAGCCGCCGACAATTGGGTCTCATCGACTGGAGATAACCGGCCAGCGGTGTCTCTTGTGTCTGTTGTGGCCGGAATGTCGAATCCTCCATCCGCGCACGCTTCTATCACATCGCCCATCTCCCTGTCTGTGCCGAGCGCTCTCCTTGTCGGTGGCGAATGACACAGAGATTAGATACAATCCTGCCTCGTGGATGTGTTGTGTTGTGTACGATCTTGTACTTGTGGACGATCTTAAGTGGGGGGCTTCGCAGATGTGTATGCACCAGACGAACTTAGACAAGGCTACCGCACATTTTGACTCCAACACGCCGTACCCCCTTTGCCTCGTCTCAAGTGCTGGTCAGCTGCAGACAACCAACCTGCTCTGCTTTGAACAGCGAGAGGGATAGAGAGAGCCTTGGTGCAGGGGGCAGACGCGTCAAGCCGGAGTATCGACAGCACTCAACTCAAGGTGCAGAACCTTGTGGAATTTACCCTGGCCCCGTCTGTTCGGTCTGATTTCCACCCCTCCGGAAGGATGCCCTTCTTTTTTGGGGTTCGAACCCTTTGCCGCAAACGAATGATTCGATGCCGTGTGCTTGCAAGGCACGTGCGGGGGCATCCCTCTAAGAAGAGGGTCTTCTGTCACGGGTGTCTGTATGCGTACGGCAGGAGCAATGAGCAGGTAGAGACGTGCTTTCGTAAGGTCCACCACACGGCATAATGCTGCTGTTCGCAGCAAGGCGTGTCGTGACTACGTTGGCCGCGTCTGCTGCTGCAGTCTCGCACGGATACCAAATCTGCACAATATGTTCCTCTGTGCATTCGAAATCGGCACAGCAGCTCGCACTGCTGTACCTGTCGCACGCGACAGGAGCCATCGCAGCAGGCATGGTTATTCCCAAACGCCGCGCTTTGCCTCTGCAGAAAATCTCCTCAAGTCGTGTGCCTAGAATCGCTGCAGGGCTGCTACTGCTGCTCCGAATACGTCGCGAGTAGTCTCACCGGCGTTGTCTCGGTTGAAGCACGGCATGTTTACCCAACATTCAATGCCGGTACTAGTATGCACGGCAGCCACGTCATATATGCCAGTATCGACAGAGGGGTTGAGGATTTTCAGCTGTACTTGGACGCTGGGACCATTCCGCCTCCCTCTCTCTCTCTTGGGCACCCAAAGTAAAACCCAGACAACGAAACCAGTAAAGTCCTTCAAAACGGAGGATGAGTCGCTACAGCTGCCCCACCGAGCTCGGCGGTACAATTTGCATTTTCAATGCCCAAACCTCCGCCTCCTCTGGACTTCATTCTCATGGGGTGAAATCAGGTGTCCTCACCAGTCGAAGCGCCTGCTGTATCAGGCGAAACTTATGTAGAGCTGGAGAACCTGCGGCGTTGAACGACGAGGAAACAAAGGAGGGGGTGGTAGGGATGGACAATCCTGCGGCGTGCACGGCGCTTGTTCTTTACGCGCCGGATGATGACAACACCGCGGCAACAGCACCGGCGGCGGCGCGGGATTGCAGCTTCGATGGGGCAGAAAACAGGAGCACGCCTGCAGCCGTTGCTCTTGGCGCCGTAGGGGATAAGATCGTAGGCTCGGCGATGAAAAATGGGGGAGGGGCGGAGGAGGAACAGAAGGCCGCCGGCGTGGCTTCGATAGCTGTCGCGGCGGCACCGCGGTTTGTCGGACTGTCTAATCAGGGGGCGACGTGCTACATGAACAGCTTGCTCCAGACCCTCTACATGACACCCGAGGTATGTGAATGCATGTGCATGTGTTCATGTATGCAAACGTTTAGTCACGTGTTCGGTAGAGATTCCGAAACGATACAGCAGATTGGCAGCAGCAGCAGTGCAGGAGGCTTGCGGGTTCGGGTTGAGGGCTAGGGTTTTAGGGTAACGCACCCCCCCCCCCCCCCCCCCCCCACTCTGTTTCACATTTAACGCTCGATATCCTCGCGAAGGCGGTCCCAGCACTGTGCCATGACACGAACGGACCTAAATTCTTACGGGGTGGTGCCCAGCGGAGAGTATTACGACAAGTGAGCCGTTGCCACTCGAATTTCGGAACAATTTCGCCCGTCGCGATTCAACCACAGATGATTCGGATCCGTCTACATCATGTCTTGGTTGCCAACGTGTCGCCGCCTAAAAGCGTCGAGGAGAGCGGTGTGAATTTTTGACACCGAAACGACAACTTCCTCTGTCCCTCGTTTATCAGTTTCGATCGGCGCTGTACGAGTGGAAGCACGACCCGCGGCCTTCTCCGGGGGATACAGCAGATGAGGGTTCTGCGTCGGCACCCACCCCCCAAGTGGTCGGAGGGGACAAGGCATTAGTGAAGCAAGAGGGGGAGGAGGAGGAAGTGGAAGATCCAAGCGAGTGCATCCCGCTGCAGCTGCAGAAGCTGTTCGGGCAGCTGCAGCTCAGCGACGAAACGTGCGTGGAGACTAGGGCGCTCACCGACAGCTTCGGGTGGACTGCGCAGGCGAGTGCTCTCTCTCGGCGGGGCCGCGTCGTTTATGGGAGTCAAGGGACGACAAGACGGGGGCAGGGGCCGGCCAACAGTTAGCTTTGTCACAGCGAAATAGATTTGCAGACCTGTTGCAGGCGATTCTCAGTTGACGGTGGAGCGACGCACCTGGATACTCACTGGTGTTCGTTTTGTCTGTCCGTATGCTGCCGATCCAGTTACATGCCTCGGCAAAGTCTTTTTGATTGTCTGCAAGTCCGTTTTTGGACGAGCCAGATGCCACGAGTATTCCAGGTTCGTGTGCATCGCCAAGTGTCCGTATCTCCTTGACATCCTAAGTTTGAATCACCTTGTCTTGCCTCTTTCCGGATCGGAACTTTTGTCGTGGTACGCGTATCCTTTTTTTTGTTGTATCAGGACTCCTTCCAGCAGCATGACGTGCAGGAGCTGTGCAGGGTGCTGTTCGACGCCCTCGAAAGCACGTTCCAGGGGACGGTCAACGAAAAGCTGGTCAACAACCTCTACCAGGGTGAGATAACGAAAGACGGACGGAGCCTTGCTGGTTGCCTGTGCGGGTAGCAGGGAAGGGCGGGGTCGACTCGGCAGCGTATATATCTCTCTCGGGGGGGCGAAGTAGATGGTGATAAAACTTCTTGGTCGAGTAGGGCTGCGCTGGTTTGGCAGCAAAGGACATGAAGGCCATTAGCTTTTCCGACGGCGATACAACAGGTGAGGGCATATATACCCCGGGTTGTGTGGCCTACGCCATCGAATCATGATCGGGTGAAGTCCGCTCATCGATTGGTCCAACATTTCTGTACATGACGAGCAACGATTCGGATCACCTCTTTACCCGCCCCCCCGGCGACAAACCATCCCAGGTTCGCTACGAGATTACGTGACTTGCAAGGAGTGTCACTCGGAGAGCAGCCGGCTGGACAACTTCCTTGATATTTCCCTCGTTCTGCGACCCTTCGGCAGCGACAAGGTACATACGCGCAGCAGGAGAGACGACGGGAAAGGGGCGAGGGGGTAGCCTCTTCCTTTTTGGCGGAGGCTTCGGCCACGGTTTGCGTCGTGAATTAGGGGGGGGGGGGGA